CGAGGAGGGTGGGAGCTCCGCCTGGTTTCTGCGAACGTGACCAGGTACAAGGATGCGGTCGAGAGATGGAGCGTTGTACGACCTCGAGGTCCAATTACCTCACCTGTAAACACAGTTCTGGACTGGGTCGCTACATATCGTGATGTACCTACCCGCGAACCCGACCCCCGGCCGTTGTTATGTGGTATTGGCGAAATGACGCGCTGACGCGCTAACACTTTAACTTTGAGTTCGCCTCACACTCAACAAGATCATATGTCATTCCCGAAACCATACATATGATTAAGTACTGCGTACGTTCGACGGATTTCCGCACGTCTAGTATTCTTGGCGTCATGTACTAAAATGGCCTCGAATTAACCTTGCTAAACACAAACATAATCTTACCGTCATTGCCACGCATTATAAAGAATACTTTATGACATTTCTGTGAGCAGTTCATCAATCCGGCAACGTATTCATGATCTCCGATCATTGTGTCGTTGCCACGCGACATCATATCATGCGCCCACCCAGTTCAGGAAATTTTCTGAACACCCTAGAGCCTACGTTGACGTTAGATCATCTACTTTGCACATTTTCATTTTAATGTAGGCTGCAGACTCGTTCATCTTTTTCCTTGTATACGGTGTGCCGAAGGACGACAAAGGCCATGGTCTTGGATCTATGGTGACACTGCTTCGTGGGGAAGCGGCTGCTCTTTCGCGTACAAGGCTGCTGTAACTCAAAGTGCTACCTACTGGGCACTGATCATTGGTACTAGAGACGCTCGCTGAGCATAGAGATTGTCACTCAAGATCTTGAACACAACACTTAGCGAACCCGCTACTCTTCTTTGGAACCGTGTCTCAACTACTCTCCTGCCGGAAGACGAAGTCAGGTGACCTTCGGGGTCCACGCCGACTACGCCTACCCACGGTGCAGTACTAACAGATACTCATAATTTAGCAGTATCGTGGAATGACTACATGAATGAAGTTGGTTCTACTCTACTTACTGGATTTAACTTGCGTACCATGGTTGTGGTGTGCATGTGGACAGTCTCCAGCTTTTCGCTTAGTATGTGCCCTCTCCCATAGGATGAGCTATGGTGCGCGAAACGACAGAACCACAGTACTTCGACTTGACTCACGACGATCCAAATTTGAGCATCCATCGGAAAATCATACCTTCTTACTATATAATCTGGCATGTTCAATGCATCCTTTCCAAGATAGTTATCTATCTCAAGACACTACTATCATACAATCCAATACACCCCACACATACAACAGCAACAGAGAACTCCATGTCTTCTGATATGGCTTCCACCAACTCTTCCACAGCGCAGTCGCGTACCAGTCTGGATAGTTCAACCACACTGGCGCCACAACCCTCGGCCCCCGGCCTCGCGCCCACCATCATCCTCAACGAACACACGTCGCCCGAACGCACTGCGCACGCTTGGTCCACCAAACGAAAGTGGTGCCTTTTGACCGTGGTCGCATTCTGTCAGATCAGCATGAATCTCAACGCCTCGGTATACTCCAACGCCGTGCCTCTGCTGAACGACTACTTCGGCATCACGAACGCCCGGTTGGGGATGACTGCCTTCCTCGTCGCATATGCGTTCGGCTGCGAATTCTGGGCGCCGTTTTCCGAGGAATTCGGACGCTGGCCTGTCATGCAAGCCTCTCTTGGGCTGACAAACATCTCGGTCCTGGTATGCGCCACGTCCAACAGCTTTGCCGGAATCATCGGTGGTAGGATCATGGGCGGCTTGTCTTCGGCTGGTGGATCGGTCACCATGGGCATGGTCGGTGACATGTATCACAAAGATGAGCAGCAATATGCCGTCTTGTGGTGCTCGCTCTTCTCTTGTCTCGGAGCAGTCATTGGAGGCATTATCGGAGGCCCGCTCGAGCAGTTCCTCGGTTGGCGTTGGAACTTCTACATCCAGCTCATCCTTGGAGTAACGACCCAGCTGCTTCATGGGGCCATCGCCAAAGAGACTCTGGCTCCTGTTATGCTCGACAACGCAGCGAAGAAGGAGCGAAAGAGCGGTAATGTCAACATCCGGGGACCGAACGAGGACAAGAAGTGGAGAGACAAGCTGCACTACAAGGAAGTTGCCACCACGATGTTTCGACCATACCAGCTGCTCTTGACTGAGCCCATTGTACTTTTCCTGTCGCTACTGAGCGGCCTCGCCGACGCGCTCATCTTCTCTTTCTTCGAAAGCTTCGGCTACGTCTTCCAACAATGGTCGTTCACGCCTACGCAGATCTCGCTTGCTCTCGTCGCATTAGCCGTGTCATACATCATCGGCTACTTTACCTTTTTCCCCATAATCGCCCGCCACAATACTCGACGTAGCCGGGGTGAACAGCTCGCACCTGAGGCACGTCTCAAGCCACTCCTATGGCTCGTCACCCTCCTCCCTGCTGGACTGCTTATCTGCGCATTCGTCGCAACAGGGCCACCACTCCACTGGTTCGGCGTCATAATGGCCACTCTCCTCATCGGAGTCGCGAACTTCTCCATCTACTACGCGTCCATCGATTACATGGTCGCCGCCTACGGACCACACAGCGCGTCTGCGACTGGTGGCAACGGTTTCATGAGAGATCTGCTTGCGGGTTTATGTGCGCTTTATACCAAGCCCATGTACAGCAATCTAGGTATCCAGAGGTCGTATCTGGTACTGTTTGGCTTGACAGCGCTGTTTTGTCTTCCGGTATACATCTTTTACTTTAAGGGTCCGGCGATTCGTGCGAAGAGTAAGTTCGCGAGTCAATTGGCGAGAGAGAGCGAAGCGCGCGGTGCGCTAGAGGTGACGATGAGTTCTGCATCGCCCTCGAGGGTCTTTCAGGAGGTTTAGCGTTGCGTGTGAGATGATTTGTATTAGCTTTTAGTTCAGTTCTTGTTTTGGCGGATACCCAGGTGTGCGTAAGCTGTTATTGCTTTGTAGACATAAATGATAAATGATAATAAAGACGCGAGAATCACATTTGCATAAGGGACCAGGTGTTTATCAGTCGGTGTGTGCGTACCTTGACTTCGTGAGAGGGCCCGGGTGAGAGTGGAAGATAAGTGCGCGTCATGATGACATAAGCACTGCTTCAACTGCCGAGGCTTGCCGTTGGTTGCGATGTTTGACCGGCACCCGCGTCGACTGAATCCTCGAACATGTCATCGAACGGTAATACAAGGCTGCATCCTTGAGCAGATCATGATCGACCCAGTACTCAAAATGTAGCATCCACCATATTGCGTTGGAGGCTCAACCTCAACCGCTCTGACCCAGACTCGACGCTTCGCAACATATCTAGGTACCACCATGGCGCCAGCAAAGCCCAAAGATATAGTGATCGTAGGAGGATCTTTAGGCGGCCTTCTAACTGGTGTCGCATTGAAGCGCCTTCGCAAGGATCTCAACATCCGGATATTCGAACGCAATCCGACGCCGCTTCTGCAGGATCAGGGCGCTGGTGTGGTGGCCGGACAAGACGTACAAAAGTTCTTCAAAGCGCACGACCGAAGTCAAACCACGTTGACAATCCCGAGTCATCAACGGCTATATCTCGATAAAGAAGGCCATGTCATAAGCCGTCACAATCAGGAGCAGCGCATGACAAGCTGGGATCTGCTGTACCACCTCCTACGAACCAACTACGATGGTACTGAGACCGACTACGCGAAGGTACCCCCGACGGAAGAAGGGGAGGGAAAGACATCGTATGAGTATGGGTGTACGGTTACGAGTGTTGCGGCACCAAAACCAGCATCATCTCCGGGATTGGACTTCTCAGAGCCCGTCAAGATCACAATCCAACACAAATCCGGAGAGACGTTCTCCACCGAAGCAGACCTCGTCATCGCAGCCGACGGTCCCAGCTCCAAGATACGCGCCGAATACTTCCCCGACGTCAAGCGAACATACGCCGGATACGTAGCATGGCGCGGCACAGTACCCGAAACGCAAGTCTCACAGGCTGCCACCGATGTCTTCGTCGAGAAGTTCCCATTCTACCACACCGAGGGTATCCAGATACTAGCATATACTATACCAGGGAAAAGCGGGACAACCAAACCTGGTGAGCGATTGCTGAACTGGGTCTGGTACGTCAACTACAAGGAAGAATCGCCGGAGCACGTCGAGCTCATGACGGACAACGAGGGGAAGAGACACCACATCACACTACCGCCGGGTGGCATTAAGGAGGATGTATGGAGACGGCAAAAGGATCTCGCGAATGAGATACTACCACCACAATTCGCTGAGCTTGTCAACAAGACTGAGGTACCCTTCGTACAAGCTATCACAGATGTCATCGCGCCGTCTGCCTTGCTAGAAAATGGTAGAGTACTGTTGCTCGGCGATGCGCTTGCTGGGTTTAGACCGCATACAGCGGCGAGTACGAACCAGGCTGCCCTGGACGCGATGAAGCTTGCTGGCGCTGTCGACAAGGTTATCGAAGGAGGGGGAATGGACGCGCTGAAGAAGTGGGAGGAAGAAGTAATGGAGTATGGTAAAGAGATGCAAAGCCACGGTGTGCGGATGGGCAACCGAAGTCAGTTCGGTGAACATCCGATGCAAAGGTGAAGGTAAAGGTAAATTACGAGGTGTACTACAGCATTAAAGGTAAAGGTAGAAAGTATGTGCTGTTGTCTGTTTCTCTAGCTAATAGTTCTAAACTACTAGGTAAATGGATAACAAGATTTGCTTGTTCTCTCACCTTTGATGGTCTCTTACGATGTGTTTTCCTACACCTATCTCACCATGTGCTATTATACATCTCACCGTTCTTTAGGCACACTCTGCATTCCCTCTCTTACCTTTCAAGACACCCCGCTCTCTGACCGCCTAGTAAGAGAGACGCTTGTTACATATATGAGGCCTCCTACGCTTCCGTCTCTCTATTCCTTCTACACCACCACACCTGACACCTCTAACATCTCATACATCTCATACATCTCAACCACTGCATCAACTCTACAGCTCTACAGCCAACGTCGATATGAACGCCCCACCTATCCCTCCAGAGCAGCTCGACTGCTATGAAATTCTCGGAGTAAATGAACGCGCCGTGTACGCCACGATAGAGCGGTGCTACAAGCGATTACAAGCTGCATTCCATCCTGACAGCAGAAGAGTTGGTGCCACACCCAGCACTGAGCATTCCCAGAACGTACGTACATACATTTTACCGACCAAGATACTTGACTAATTTCTAGCTAATAGATTGGGGCTGCGTGGGACACCCTCAAGGACACTAGCGCGAGACGAAGATACGACAGAGATTACATCAGGATCCGCAGAGAGTGGGACGTCTACCGCATCAGGTTGGGGGCATGGGAAGCTGAGCAACGTGAAAAAGCACGACGCCAGGCAAGAGCTATAGAACGACAAAGGAAAGTCGCGGACGAGGAGGCGAGGCTTGAAAAAGAGAAGTTGAAAGCATTGAAAGAGAGAGCGGCTGAAGCGACGAGGCGACATGCCGAGCGCGTCGAGGCTGAGGAATTACGTCTTCGAGAGCAGGAAAAACAAGAGGAGATAATCCGACGACGAGAGAACGAAGCACAGAGCGCACGAGAGCGGCTACAGGAAGAAAAAAGACGGCAAGGCATAGCTCGAGCCAAGGAAGAAGCCCGCATAAAGGCTGACTGGGAGAGAGCACAGAGAGAGAAAAATCTCACAAAGGGGGCTGGAGTGTCACAACGCGCACCAGATGAAAGAGACGAGCTAAGAGAACGCTGGCGTCATGCGAAAGATCGGACGACAGAGCAAGCTCATGCAGCCGGACGTATGAATGATGCGGCCGCTAAGGAGAGACTTCGCAAGCAGAAGGAGGAAATACCCCAACCAAACGAAGACAACCATAGGCGACATGCAGAACCTCCTCAGGAAGGTACTCAAGAAACGGAACGGCTGGCCAGAAAACAGCGTGAAGCAGACGAAAGACAGGCTAAAGTTATCGCCAACGCGCAGAAACGACAAGAAGAAGCAGCTAAAGAGCGACTACGTCGTGAACAACTCCACTCCACGTCGCTGAAGCGGCCCGCCTCCGACGATGTCGAGGATGCGCAAGATATGGCAGACACCAAGAAGCCTAAAGTTCAAGAGCCCATGACATCAGGCCTCCGTAAGCATATGGCTCGAGAACAAGCCCGGCGAGTTCATACCCAGAAACTTCAGGAGGTAGGTGGCCCAGGAAATGAAGAGCGCCTGAGAGACGTCAGTATCGACTTGGGATGGAAACATGTGGACTATCAGAACAAGGCATGTCCTCAATGCCACACGAAGAAAAGTGCGGCGCAATTCGGACTATGGGAGTGTCCAGAAGGAGGTGCATTACGATGTCGGCCATGTCTAGCGGCATTGAGTGTATTCAGTGCGTGACGTGAGTGCAAGAGGATGCAGGGGACGGGGCTTCTATCAGGGCAAAAAGTGTTTTTCTGACAGCGTGTACGGTTTACTTGACCTAATTAGCAGCTATCTCCTTCCAGTCTTCACTATGCTGGTTTTGGCCGTGGTTTATCACACTACCTAGGCAGCTAATAAGGTCGTCATATATGCAATCATAGGGCACTGAGTGTTATCAGGCAGCATTAAGATCCAAAGACAACGCAATGTGATTCTCAAATGCTGTGTACACTCCACCAATGCTCTATATACACCGTCTCGCAAGCCTTAACGAGCGACCCCAAAGAAGTATGTAACCATGAATGACTCAGTCCATCCTATGCCCTCCAGACATCTCATTTCTCATTATTCGTGTTCGTATCTAGTACTCGAGGTCCTTGGGGTGGCGCTTGGCGAGCTTGTTGACAGCAGGGCCGGGGACGGGGTAGCTGGTGAAGGACTGGAAAACGTTGAACTTGATGCCAGCATCGTCGGCCTAAACAATCTCGTTAGCACATGTCCGATATTGCATCGTACGACACAGGTGGAAGATCTTACCTTGTACAAGCTAGTACCAGCAACACCGCCGCTGGGCTTAGCAGTGCCAGAGCCCTCAACCTTGAAGTTGACGCACTGGGGGTACGCCTGGGCACCGTTGGTTTGGCCAGCAGCGTGCAGAGCGATGATCTCGTGGCGGACAACGTAGTTGCCAGGGGTGACGTTGGGGAAGGTGAGGTCCCAGGCGAAGTTGTTGGCGATGAGGTCGTCAGTAGCCCATTTTCCTGGGTTGCTTCCTGACTTCCAGGCGCTGGACTGGATCTTGGTCCACTTCAGGTCAGAGGGGCTGACGGAGCCGCAGTCGCCGTTGCAGGGCGCGATGTACTCCTGGATGGGGCCAACGTGGCTGACTGGCCAGGTGTCCCACTTGAAGGTGACCTTGCTGCCGGGCTTGACGGTAACGTAGGCACCGTTGCTCTTGCCCTGCTTGTGGCAAACGATGGCGGCAGTCCCAAAGCTGTCAGGGGAGACGAAACCGTTGTCAAGGTTGTCGGCTTGCCATCTTTGGGACTGAGTCAGTATATGTCTTGCATGCAGTTCGTACAGAGTCACTTACCCTACGGTGGCGGGAATGGGGCTCTGGTACTTGAGAGCAGCGTTCCAGCCCTGGTATTCCTTGCCGTCGGCAACGACCTTGTCGACGTGGCCGTGGGCTGCCACAAGGGGCGCGAGAAGGAGGAGGAAAGAGAGCATGTTGATGGTATTCAAAGTGAATGACTTGTAGAAAGCGATTGTTGAAGCTGTGTAGTGATGGGCTTGCTGTCGAGAGTGACCTTCAACCTGGGACTTAACGCCCCTTCATATACTCCTCTGAAGTCTTCTAGCGGCCTTCTACTGACGCCCACGTTTTCCCACGACCAGGTATTGGCGAAGCCTTGCAATCAAAAAATTCATCTCCATGCACGAGTCGACCTGGTTCCTGAGTTGAGCGCCATCCGCTCGTAGAAACACGCCCTGGTCGTCGAGCTCTTGGATCATTGGAAGCCCAGCGATGTTTCCAGTCTGGTGACGGCGTGAAACCACTGCGATAGGCTAGGAGAATCTCAATGACTCCAGTATTAATATATGAGACGCAGTGCTGTCCTTGAAGTGGTGATGAGCAATCTATCCTCGGCTGCGGCCACTGCCGCCGTCCAGGTGGTCACCAACCACGTGCGAGTTTCAGCCACTACGTTGTGGTACTTTGTTTACTTAAACTCTGGGCGATGTGGACCTCTCGGTGTATTGGCGACTCAACGAAGGATATTGTTGTTGTTGTTTTATCAAGCTGCATACTCAGGTGCTCAACAGCCAGGAGGAATGATACCATGCCTAACATTGCGCTGATGGCGCAACTCAGCAGCTCACGGGAACCAGCACGGATCTACGGCAGTCGTCATGTAAGCCCTACGGCTACCGAAATGCAGTGTAACTAATACCCCGTGGGGTCTTGGACATACTTGCAGTGTTGCTGCAAGTGTTGCTGCATCCGAGTCGATTATATCCGGTGGCGTAAAACCCCAGGGCGTTTAATGTATATAGATTAATCACGGACCGCGAACCCGAACGTCAACCCACTTTGTGGCGATGCAACTCTTGCACAAGGCTGGTAATGCGTGCATCTCTGAAACGTCTCAGGTCACACGAAGTGCGACTCATTTAGAGAGGCATTCCATCTACTCCTACCACGATGCAGCCTCGATTCTTTAAGCACTGAGTTGCCCAACGTTGCCGTCCCCTGATGTCTTTTCGAAGAGTGGATTTGCTGATTGCTGATTGCTGATTCCTGGATGTCCTGCTCTGGATTCTTGGAGGGCCAGTTCGTGTAAATGTCCATTACCAATTCCAGGTCCAGAATCTCGTCGCTCGGTGTGTGTCCGGCCATAACAGATTAACCTGGAGACTCAACAGAAAGAAGGTAACATCGACTATCTCTCTAGATGAGAGAACCCATTAAAATTCTCTTGCTGCGACAGGTAGGATGGACGTCGCCTGCGCAACTGGCGCTTGGGGGACTTGGGACCGTTGCGTCCGTCGCGCGACGACCACGTCCGCCCTTGCTGGAGCGCATACCTGGATACCCTCATGTGTTGCTACTGGAGGATGCGCATCTGCGTCAAAGATGATCACGCGGCGAATGTAAGCCTTGGCCTCAGTGTGTCGCAACCATGGTAATCAGTAAAATCTCATCTCAACAACCAGAGTGTCAAAGAGGAGGACCAGAGGAAGGACGTCGAAGGTGTAAGAAGCTTGGGCTCAAGGGATCGTCAGGGCGAGCGCGAGGGACGGTGCGACGTCATCGCTGTTGTGCTAAATTTGTCGCTCTGACGTGCCTCACGATCGGCGAACGATGCGCATCGTGCAGGAACAAATTTTGCGTCACTGAGTGTCGCATCTTCATATAACAAAGCTGATGCTCTCGCTGTTGGCCTGAGGAGGTGGGGAATCTGACGCTCGGCATGCCTGGAAGGTGCGGATGACGCGTCACCAAGGCTAAGTAAGACCGTACCACCACAGGCGTCCCCAGCGAACATTCACATTCACAGCCCCAAAAGACAGAAATATTCACATCAAAATTGCGCCCAGAGGCAGAAGAAAAAGGAGGACATATCGCAGTATACAAAGCTAAGGAAACCAGAGGCTCCAAGAGTCGGGCCAAGTTCAGGTCCGAAACCTTCTGGTCAACATAGCCTCCCCGGGCAGCCCGGAAACCACACTTCCACGCGTGTCTACGCAGCAGACGAAGCTGGGGTGTTACGCGTTTCCGAGTGCCAACTGGTCTTAGACGTGGTCGATTAGGTGGGGTAACGCAGCTTTACTGGCTGCCCAGGCACGTGAATATGTGACGCAGCCAATAGCATGGTGAAAGGGTCGCATCCTCCTAGCAACCGATTGGGTCTTTGGTTCGCATCAGATGCACGATCTGGAAGACCTTGCGGTTCCCGAAGCGATAGCTGTAACGGTATATAGGTAAGTGATCGTGGCACACAGGGTCTCGCAACTCGGTGCCAGTGGGACGTTGCCGCATCACACCATACTATTTCGTCGTCGTCAGCGCAACGCTGACCATCCCCTCGGTCTTTTTCTTGTCACTCCTGCAGCTTCCGGAACCTCCGCGCATTAGACTCACTCTCTGCCTTACCTTTGTTGATCGTGAGCGTGTCACCACAGCAAACACTACTCCATCCCTATATCACTCGCTCCCGTCGCACACGATTCTGTACCACAGCATATACCCCTTCATCCGCAGTCACAATGTATCTTCAAAAAAGAAACGGCAACATGGGCTTCGACATCGCCCCAGCCCTCATCATATTTCTCGTTATCCTCGGAGCAGGCGCGCTCGTCTGCTGCGGTTTCGCTGTCTACCGGTTCTATGGCGGAGAACCTGAAGATGACTCAAGACGTTTCCACAGGAGCCCAGAGCAAGACTCCTATATGAGAGAAGTGCGGGAACGAAGTTGGCGCAAGCTACCCCAGCTGGGTATGCCACGGCCCTACTATCAGTCCAACCTGGGTCACGCACCGATGAGTCCAAGGTAAGATGACGTGGATTCACCTATGAACATAGCCTCAAGCTGACTTAAACAAGCGGTAGCAACACTACGTACGGATGAGAAACCGAGCACCCTCCAGCCTCGTCGAGGTGGATGCCGAAAAAGACTGCAACACATGCGGCCTGAGAGGGCGTGAGGCCCTACAACAGGACAACCAGCGACGCGACACTACGAAACGACCGAGAGGCACTACTTTTGCAATTGTATTGGATTAGACCTCATAAGAGATGTTCGGAATTTTGTTTGGGTGATAAGAAGCGTTCGACGGATCAACCACCACCCCGGCCTGACGGACTTCACTCGTCGAAGCCTTCCTGCTTCAGATACTTCACGATCCAGGAAAGGTGGCTGCGAAGCCACAAATCGACAGGGGAAAATATGTACCTCACGATCAGAATGCTGTCAACATCCGGGGAAGCGGGTGGTCCGAGACGGACAGATAGTCCTGGGGCGGGGTTCCGGGACATGGTTTCCATAAGGGTAGATTGGAGTTTCCAAGGGTTTCATGCCTATTGACTGATATAGTGTTCCGAACAATGCAATGCAAGTTCTTCACTCTATCACACATGCGGTCGTTGCCATGAGCGTGAACTGGTACCAAACCGCAACACCCTGGTGACTTTGACAGACGACATCGCAAGACGTGCAAGGGGTATCCGTGCTTTGTTACCATGTTTCCCGAGCATGGACACGACTCAGATGTCAGCGCGAAAGACAGATTGGGTCACTGGAGCCTGTTCGGACGACGATGTTTCCGTTTTCCGAATGGCCGAGGGATGCCCAAGAATCTGGGTACAGCCACAGTTGCGCCTTGTAGTCGTTTAGTGATATGCGCAGGGTCCGAAAGTTAATCGTACGCTGGGTTGAGTCTGGACTGTATTACTTATGAGCCGTTCCGTGCCT